GGCACCCGAACCAGATTTTTGGATATTGAATGCCGCCCTGATGAAGGTTACCTTAAATCCTGGTTCATCGGGAGACTCTGTAGCCCGAGTGTCAGTCGGCAGAAACACTGGCTTGCTTGTAACCGTGGAAGACCCTAATTTTGCCCAGCCAAATGCTGTAAGTCCTCATCAGCAGAAAAATAATCTAGCAGTGACATGTCCTGTTTCAGTTGTGATATCATTTCTAGGTCCAAGTAGACGACGTTCATTTTTGATGCTCAAAATAATGCAATGATGCTCCACCTTTTCTCATATATTCAAAAACAGGCATACAGATTTTATGTGAACACATCCACAACATGCATATTTAACCTGGATGCGGAAGCAATACGCCTATCACATCGGCAATGTTTGTCGTTATTTACCATACTGACAGCAGAGGTTCAAAGTAAGTTCTCAGACATGTGTTTGGCGGTATTCTTTTCTGTCTATGTTTCTAGACCTCGAATGAACTAAACTACAACGAGCACAAAAATTAATTTCTAAGGAAATGCAAAAGCTGAAAAGAGAAAGTACTTCAAGCAAACACAAGATACTTCAGAAGTTATTAAAAGTTGGTATGACAGAAACGTTCGCGACCAAATGTCGAACGCCAACATTTCGCAGGCAGGCACTTACCCCACCCCTGCGGACCTTTGGCTGAAGCCATCGATGTCTTTACTGTTCTCTGTCTTCCACCCACTACCAGTTTGCATTTCGGTGGGGATTCCTGATCCAACAATGGGATACGATACACACAAAAAGTCGGATATTTTGGGCATGATATATGGACGATTCCTTCGTGGCCCTCAAGCATGAAGTAGTCTCCAAAATTTACGTTCCCTGAAATTCGGTTTTCCAGGCATTTCCGAATATTGAGAATGTATCCGAAGCAGTTGCGTGTCGATTACAATGTTTGCAGGATTTGCGTCACCCAATGAACTGGAACCACAATAAAACGTCTGATGATGAGATAAAATGCCCCATATCTCATCAAGCGAAAGGATAAGTTAAGTCTATCGCGCATAGTGCTTTTCATAGGAGGAATCATACTTTCGAGCCGAGGGGAACAGGACTAAAAGTAGATATGAGGGAGCACATAAGGGCAGTGACAATAATGGAGAAACTTTCGCTGTTAGCGGAACCATGTGCAGACTATGGACATATCGCAGGGGGTTAAGTGAGTCAAACCCGGCAACTGCGATCTTCAGACCATGGTTACTTAGTAGAGAAGAAGTCGTTAAAGGCCGGAGTAGTAGGAAGAATGTATTGTGTACACAAGGGAAAGGAGAATAGATGGATAGTGATTTGACTTGGACAGAATATAGCCAGCCAGGAGAGCCAGTCGAGTCCAAGTGCCGTTTAGCAGCAGGCATGCCAACGGCAGCGAGAACGAGCAATGTCTGATTGCCTTGAAGGTTATTGGCCGGACAGACTGAATCGACCAGGCGTGCATGCGTCCTATTCGCCGGCGGGAGAGACCAGCCTTTG